GCTCGGCCGCCGCTGTAGGCTGCGGCAGTAGCAGGGTGGCGCGCAGCAGAGCGTTGCGATACCTATGTTGTGTAGCTTGAATAACTGATCGCCTCCTCTGTCCAGGTGTTGCCAGCTGTGCTCTTCTCTCTCCCGGAAGCGCTGAAGAACGCGTAAATCTGTGTGAAGTGCACCTAAAGGTTCACTGTACTTGTAGTTGCACTCTGAGATGCCACGGTTTGTACAGCAGAGACTTAAAACGGTGAACAGTGTGTTTGTTCAAAGGTACTAGATTGGGAAAAACTGTTGCACCCTGGACCCCCCTGGAAAGGGGTTTAACGGACTGACGGTGGACTGTGCCTTGAAAGGTTTGGCTTATTCTTAAAATTCGACCGTGCATGTGCAAACCTGAACGTGGAACCATCTCTCTCCAATGTATTGTTGTTCGCCTTTATGTATCTGAACACAGGATCCTCTGTACCTTATTACTACCTCAAGGCCTGTATTTCACGTGCCCTGTTCTCTGGGGTTTTTTGGTTTTTGTTTTTTTTTTTTCTTTTTGCGCTGTGGTGACGCGTAATTGTGCCTTAACTGCCCTGTTTACGGATTTGTATGCATACTCCCAATAAAATGTGCATTGTTATCTGAACCGTATCCTGTCTGTGTGTTCTCCTGCTCCCACGCTCTGCGGACCTCCCGTGGGCACGGCTGGCCGTGCGCGTCGGTGCTGCCCAGAACGCCGGATCCCTTGCACCTCGTAGGACCTCTTCTCCGTGCCGCGTAGCGTCCGCGGGACGATGAAGCGTTTCCGCAGCCGGCGGCAGGGAACTGCCTCTCTTGGCTCTCTTGATAGCCTGTTCTGTAACTAAACTCACGCAGATGAGTTGCATCTGTCAGACCTGCTGTGAGACAACCGACTACTTAGGCTTTAATTGTACGCAGTCGGCAGCCCGAGCACCGTGAGCTGATCTTCGTTTGTCCTTTTACTTTCAGCAGCGAATCTGAAAAGATTGAGGGGAAGCTATTTGTCGCCGGCCAGGAGTTTTGGTGACTCGTATGCCCGGAAAAGCTGCGGGGAGCGGCGTTTAGCGGGAGCGAGGAAGGGCTAGAGCGTGGCGGCGGAGAGCCCGCAAGGGGCAAGGCCGGCGGGGTTAGGGAGCCGGCGCCGGGGGGGCGAGGGGCGCCCGGCTGTCTGCTGGAGGGGCTGCTCCATCCTTCCTCGGACTGGCGGTCCCAGCCAGGATGGCAGTCCGTGTGTGTACGTGCTCTTGTTTTGTGCTGAAATGATTAACCATGTTTGTTTTTCTTTTTCCCCCCCACCTCCTTTCCCCTCCCCTCCCGCCTTTCCCTCCCTATCTGGAAACGCTTCATCTATAACGTATTGTCGTTTTCAATATTAAAGTGCTCCCCCGCCGGGTCCTCCCCCGAGAAGCCTGGTTTGCCCCGACGCTCGCCG